TGTTTAGTCATGCCGGCCAAATGACCACGGAAACGTCTTCGGACAGCGCTGGCTCTTCGGCTTTGAAACGGAGATGAGCACCGCAACCCTAGAGTCGGATTCGACTGGCTTTCGAGCAAGGGAACCTTTACCTTTTTAATGGGGTGTTATTCACCAGGTGATGTTGTTCACCTCCATGCCATTAAAAGTTTCAACCACCCATTCAGCCTCTATTAAAGGGGCAGGACACATTTTTGTAAGATTATTTGGCAACCCTACTTTACAGACAGGTTGAACAACAACACGATTACAATAAACCTTCAAGGGAAAGCATGCTACAATTCTCACATTACTTTCCTGGTGTAACCGAGGAAGGCCTAATTCATAAGGTGCCATTAGGGAAAGTTTCAGGCCTGCCTTGGCGGCTACAGGCCTTTGAGCAGTTACTTGTTCTTCCTCCAAGGATCTCAGGGTGGTACATATTTTACCCTCACAACAACTGTTAAGAGGTAGATCAAGGTAGGCATTTATTACATAGGTAATAAATATGTCAATCTCCAGTTCTGACATGTTTATTACCCATGTTGTCACACACCCCGCAGTTGAACCCAAACAGCTGATAACCAGAAACTGAGCTTGCCATTCTTTTGATCTGTTAATAAGCATCTTTACTATTTTGCATGCTAATTTAACAAGCCACCCCTATATATACAACTATGGGCCCCGTCACACGGGCCAGATATCGTGGGGGGGGGAGGCATGGCAAATTGCCCCGGAGGAAACTAACGCGCGGCCGCCTGAGCACACGTCCCGGTCAGGTCCCGTGGTTAGGGTGGAGATGCCGACCAGACGGGTATCCTGCAGCGCGGCACAGAAGCCGTGCCGCGCGATCGCACAAGCAATCGCTCTTTGTGCGCATGCGCTGTTGCGCAACCTGCGGAGACTTGAGAGACCAAAAAAACCCCTTTTGTGCGACGAACAGTGGCGGGCACCGGATGCCATGTAAGTCCACCGGAAATGCGGCTTCCGGAAACTAGTACCTCGGAGGTACTCGTTTTTTACTCTGCATCTTCGGCGGGAAGCCTTGGGTTAGCCACGGGAGCTCTATGCTTCCCAGATGTTGCGGTGTGATCGCGCCTGGAAAATCCGCCTACCATCCGTATCGTCAGCTCGGCAAATGCTCCGTGTGTCCGCAGCCTATGTTCTGTAATTCCATTTCATTGTCTGATGAAGTGTGCGTGCACACAAAAGCTCAAATGCTCCGTGTGTCCGCACGGAGCTCAAACCTTGAATAAAACTTTGTTGGTTTTACATGGGCCACTGGACTCGAACTGTGTTCTGTTAAGAGGTAGGTTATGCTTGCAGCCTCAATTTGTTTTGGGGGCGTGCAGGAAAGGGAGCTTAACCCTTCCACTCAGTTTCACTACCTGAAACCTGCACCCTGCCCTAATGTTTGTACTTTAAAGACAAGTTTAGTTACTTTAGTAATCTTAGTACTTTAAAGACAAAAGATTATTCCCCCCTCCCTTTGAAAATGCTAACAGCACAGTGGGGAGCTCAGATTTTAATAGCAAAACCCAGTGGAGGCTGAAAGGATAGACCTGGGTCTCCGGGGTCTTAGAAGAATGTAAGGGTCCACTAGCACCTTAAAGACTAACAAAATTTGTGGTCACGTATGTCAGGGCTATTTTTGGGCAGGAACACACAGGAACGGAGTTCCGGCTGGCTCCCAAGTTGGCCTCACCCAGCAGGAACTGATTAGCATAATAGGCCACACCCAGTGGCAGGAACTCATTAGGATTGGCTACATTAGGGGTGTGTGGCCTAACATACAAAGGAGTTCCTGCTCCAAAAAAAGCCCTGGGTTTTGACAACAAACAGGGTAAACAGAATAAGAAGCAAAAGGTGAGTGTGGCTGGATGACCACACTTCTGGCAACGTGGGGTGTGGCCTAATATGCTAATGAGCTGTGCTGTCGTGGGTGTGGCCTAATATGCTAATGAGTTCCTGCTGGGCTTTTTCTACAAAAAAAAAGCCCTGCGTATGATCTTTTGTAAGTCGCTGCCAGGCGCGTAGCCACAGTGGGGCATTTTGAGGCCTGCCCCCCCCGACTTCCTGCCAAGCCTCCCCCCCCGACTTCCATCCAGCCCCCAGACTCTGGGCTGCCTGGAGGACTCCCCACCACTGCCCCTTCCCCATGTGCAGCTTGCTTCCCCACGTAGGCAGGCAGAGTGTGAACGCTGCAAAAGTCAGTTTTAAAAAATTTTATTACAATTTTATTTTTAATTTTGTAATGTCAGTGCCCTCTGACTTATTTAAAAGCACCCCGAATTACAAAATCCAGGCTACGGGCCTGGTCGCTGCTCACTTCTGGGAGAACCGGGTTTGATTCCCCATTCCTCCACTTGTACCTGGCTGGATGACCTTGGGCAAGCCGTAGTTCTGATAAGAGCTGTTCTTGAAAAAAAGAGAATTCCTTGTCAGAGCTCTCTCAGCCCCACCTACCTCACAGGGTGTCTGTTGTGGGGAGGGGAAGGGAAAGGAGTTTGTAAGCCGCTCTGAGACACCTTTGGGTAGTGAAGGGTGGGGTATAAATCCAATCTTCTTTTCTTCTTCAGATACCTGAAGCTTCAGACCAACACGGCTACCCACCTGAATCCCCCGCAAATTTTGTTAGTCTTTAACATGTGACTGGACTCTTATTCTTTTCTACTGCTACAGACTGACTGACACGGCTACCCATTTTGATCTATCCTGGCTCCTAGTCTCTAACCACTATACCATGTTACCTCTGAAAGGGCTAAAAGAGGTATCCGTGCAACAGGTCCGTCTAAGGGAGGGGGCGAGGACTTTCACCAGCTTAAGCCCACTCCAGTATTGCATCAGCATCTCTCCAGCCTTAGATTAACTCTTATACCACTAGGGTTGCCAGTAGGTCTGGAGAAAAATGTTCTATCTGTTCCTTTAGCACAGGTTTAATGGGAAGTTGGAGCTTTTTGTGGCATGGAGGTAAACAACATCCCATTATCCTTTATTTAAAGGGGCAGGGCATTTTTTTTCCCTTCCAGGAAGTTAATTTTATTGATGTTATTTATAGTCCACCTTTCTCATTGAGACTCAAGGCTAATTGTATCCAATAAGCAAAGTAATAGGATGAGAACTGCAGAAGTCTGAAACAAAGGAAAAATCCAAGGCAAAGCAGAAACAAAGCCTAAATATGTGGAAATTACACTGTAGGATAAATACATACTGCAAGAAATAATACGCAGTATACACAGTGATATACTCCATCGTCCCTTTCCCTTCTTCAAATCATTTTTCTGAACCACAGAATCATAGAGCTGGAAGGGACCTCCAGGGACATCTAGTCCAACCCCCTGCATAATGCAGGAAATTCACAAATACCACCACCCCTGTCCCTAGTGACCCGTTCCATGCTCAGAAGATGACAAAAAACCTCCAGGAACCCCAGGCAAACTGGCCTGGAGAAAAACTGCTTCCTGACCCCACTAGGCAGGCCGTTCCCTAACAGAGGATGCCATGAAGGGACAGTGGTTGACCTTGCTCATTTGCAGGGTGGCGCCTGCAGGCCCTGCTCAGAATGAAGCTGCCATGGTGGACAGATACGAGTGTCCAAGGCCATGACCTGCTTTGTATGAGATATGCCACAGTGGCTCTCAACTGATAGCTAAGCAAAGTTTGAGCTGTAAGTTGCCAAAAATGTTTAAACCTAATCTGGGAGAATCAGGTTTCATCTTGGGTTAGTTACAAGTTCTTTCAGAGCTGTTCTCTCACGAGCAGTTCTCGAAAGAACTCTCTCAGACCCATCTACCTCACAGGGTGTCTGTTGTGGGCAGGGCTGGCCCGCCATAGAAAAAAATTAGGCAATTGCCTATGGCGCCAGCTTGATGAGGGCGCCGTTCTGGCCTGCCTGCTGCCCTCCTTCCCCTCCCCCCCTTGCGGCACAGCAAATCCTCGGTCGAGAAATTGAGATGCACGACCAGAGCAGTGTGGCATACAGCGAGTGCCTCCCCATGCCAGCAGCTCATCTGGCCCAGCTGCCGCTCGCTCCCTCGGCCTGCCCAATGCGGCTCCAGCACCCGTCCCTGCTCACCTCTCGACGGCGGCAGAGGCACCACCCCCTATATGGAAGGCCTGACCACCAGGTTGTGACGTCATCAAATGTAGGCATAACATTCCCTGAGCTCTGCAGTTTCCAGCTACTGTCACAAGTGTTTTAACTTGCAGTTTCTCGTGTACCCAACAAGATATTCTCTTGATTCTTTCACTGCAGTATTCCAGACACTTCACACTAGCTTACAGTGTTACTGAGTTCAGTTTCCCTTGCATATTTGAGTGCATGTTTCGTATAATTTTACAAGCATATAGTAGGGGAAAGTGGTGGCAGAGGCCGCCTCTCCCGCACAAGCCTTTGTCCTTGGCCAGGCTCCGCCTCCGTGCTTGGTGCCCGCCAGTGGCACTTGCTCCGTGCCTCTTTCCAAACCATCTTTGGAGGCCACCTGGACTACTTCCCACGCGCTGAAGCTTTCCTCCCTTGCCATGGCAATCAGTGGCTTGAGCCTGCAGCCCTTATTCAGGGAGGAACCGCCGCCGCTGTAGACAACTTTGGTGGTATCCCCCGGCCTTGGGGGGGGTGCAGCGCCAGAAGGGGGGGCAGAAATTGGGGGGCGCACGGGGGGGCACCAGAAGGTATCCTTGCCTAGTGGGGGGGAAAACATGGGGCTGCCCCTGGATGTGGGGAGGAGAAGGGAAAGGAGATTGTAAGCCACTCTGAGACTCTAAGTGAAGCATGGGGTATAAATCATATCTTCTCCTCCTCCTTCTTGTCATGGACTCTCTTTAAATAAACCACAGCAGAGGTTTCGTACTCTAGTTTGGTTTTAATGCTGCAAGGAACAGAATATTAATGCTGCAAGGAACAGAATACATGAACAGAATTCAATATTTTCCTCATTCTATTGTTTTAAAAAAAGACATGGATACATGATCAAAGACTGCATTATAATAACATATTACACTTTAGTAAAAAAAAAGTTCGTTTGGAAAGAAGAATACAGGAAGGTATCAAAATGGAGTTTCACATAGTAGTCAGACAGCCATAATTATATCTGTATATACTTAAGCAAAAGACATTTTTCTAAGAAAAACACATTCTCACGGTCTACGGAAATGGGTTTACTGATGAAGGCTCACATATCGCTCATACACAGGCAGCCTCCCTTGTAACCAACTGGGGCCTTTGCTAAGACTTGTGCTGCACTATGTTGCCACAGAAAGTCTGCGTCATCATGTGGGTTAAAAAGTCCTTCCCCTATAACACTAGGGCTGCCAACAGCCTGGAGAAAAAAATGTCTTGACCCTTTAATAGAAGCTAAATATGTGGCAGGCGAAGCTCCTCACAGCACAGAGGTGAAAAGCATCATATAGTTCAACAGCATCCTATCGAGCCTCTATCAAGGAAACATGATATTTCCCCCCCAAGTTGTTGGCAGCCTTACTTAAGGCACTGGGGAGTGGTCAGTAAACCCAGAAGACGGATCTTATTTGCTGCTGGTTTGTTGATGACAGAACACCTGAAACCAGGAGGTACCCCATTTACACACACCTTCTTTGTTGACTCAAATTGAGGTTCTTTTTCTAATTAAGCAAACGGCTTGCCTCTCCTTTTCCAATCGGGCATAATGGGAGCATCTACTACAGCATTTTCAAGAGTGGAATGATTCCTGTCTCCAAAGCACGACTTTCTTGCCTCTTCCTTCACACTGTAGCTCAAATGCACCCCCTCAAATACTGTTCCTGGGGCCCTTTCCCTCTGAGGAGTAGCATTCCGGGGGGGGGGGGATCGGTGGGAGGGAGAGGTAAAAATGTTGTACTCTGTGGATGGGAATCCAGTCTATATATATATATATATTAAATTAAGCCATTAAATGTTTAATGTGTTCCTTCATTCTTTTTCTCTCTCTGGCATGATTTTTATCTGCACCTCAAGTCTCACAGAATGTCCGCTTATCCCTTGTGTGGCTTTTCGTACATCTTCAGTCCGAGCCTCCCGACCATCAGCAAGCTTTAGAGAAAAAAATGGAGTCAGTTCATGGACTTAACAGGAAAAGTATCAAGCCACCGAACCACATAATCACGACACTCAAATGTCACAAACAGACCCAACTTTCAGGTGGGTAAGCCGTGCTGGTCTGAAGCAACAGAATAAAATTTGAGTCCAGTGGCACCTTTAAAATCAACATTGGCCCCAGTCACATGGGCAGGAAAATGCGGGGGGGGGGCGGGCGTGGCTGTTTGCCCCGGAGCAAAATAACGCGCAGCTATGCGATCAGACATCCCGTCGAGGTCCTGTGGTTAGGGGGGAGGTGCCGATCACAGGACAATTCTGCAGCGCGGCAAAGAAGCAGCCTCCCTAGCAAAAGGCTCCACAGGTTTAACCCCTTCCAGGGCTGCAGAGGAATGCAAACTGTGTCCTCCCTCCGGTCCCCTCCAGGAGAAGCTTCAGCCGGGCCGCACTCCCACCACGCCCCGCCTGCACCTCCCCCTCTGCCGCCTGGTGCAGAGAGTTCCTCTCGAACAGGCCAAGCCAGGAGTGGGGGGGGTACGGAAAAGAGGAGGGGGCTGTGTTGTTTGTTTTTTAACGAAGTGTGCACATGCGCCGTTGGGTGCTTGTGCGCATCCCATGGAGACTTGGGGGGAAAAAACTTTTCGTGACGGGACATGGGAAGTCACCAGATGCCACGACCTACCACCGGAAACACGATCAGGCGCCCGCCCTTGCCCTGCGGTTTCCGGAAACAAGTACCTCGGAGGTACTAGTTTTTTACCCCGCATCTTCGGCGGGAAGCCTCGGGTGAGCCACGGGAGCTCTACACTTCCCAGATGTGGTGCTGTGATCACGCCCGGAAAATCTGCCTATCTTCCGTCTCTGTAGCATGGCTAATGCTCCGTGTGACCGCAGCCATTGTTTAATTCTAGGTATAAGCACACACAAAAGCTTATATCCAGAATTAAACTTTGTTGGTTTTAAAGGTGTCACTGGACACAAAATTAACTTTGTATGTGACAGGAACAAGACAGGAAGGCCTCAGCCTCACACACTTCCTCTCCCCTCCTCCCTCCCTTGTGTACAATACAGAAACTGAACAAGACAGAAATTTCGCTTGACAGGAATATCAGGCACAGTGACAAACTGTGGTTTGTTCTGTTGGCTACAAGCCAGGATTCAGTTGGTTTAGCATCCTGGCTGGTAGGCCGCAGAACAAAACACAGTTTGACATTTGACAGCTGATTCAGATGTCATCATGACAGGCTTGGATCCTAACCTTTCACTCCGCTTGTGCTACATACTTCCACTTGGGGAAGAGGAAGGAGGCACTTCCTGCCAGCCCTGCCCCCCATGTTGACACTCACAGTACTCCTAGGAGCCCACTGTTAAATGGGAGCACAATCTCAGAAGACTACAGTAGGAGGGCAGAAACAAGAAAGGTGACATTTGTGCTGCGTCTTCTTCCGCACAATCTTCACTTTCCCAAATTACAAATCTCACTGAGGGACCTTTGTTCAGCCACTCAGCCTCACAGGGTAGTTATTGGTAGGAAAAAAGAGTCCAGTAGCCGTGTTGGTCTGAAGCCAGTTTGGTGTAGTGGTTAGGAGAGCGGACTTCAATCTGGGACAACCAGGTTTCATTCCCCACTCCTCCACATGCAGCTGCTGGTGTGTCAGTCACAAGTTCTCTCAGAGCTGTTTTCTCAAGAGCAGTTCTCGAAAGAGCTCTCTCAGCCCCACCCACCTCACAGGGTGTCTGTTGTGGGGAGGGGGAAGGAAAGGAGATTGTTAACCGTTCTGAGACTCCTTTGGGTAGTGAAGGGCGGGGCATAAATCCAATCTCTTCTTCTTCACCTTAAAGACTAACTGAATTTGTGGTAGGGTATAAGCTTTCACTTCTTCAGATAGTTATGAGGATGAAATGAGGAGGAAAGATACTCATGAACCCATGGATCCCTCGCTTGTTCCACACACAAACTGGCCACAGGCAGTCCTTACTAGTCAGTTAAGGGGACCATATGGGACCTTCCTTGCCTCATACTTTGGCAGTGCTAAACACCCCCTGCCTTGTCAGTCCCAGTGATTGTCCACAGTGTGATTAAAGAAGGTGTTCATCTTGCAAGAATGCAAATACAGCTGTTCCATGGGGCTTCTCGTACTGGGCAGCTGAAAGGTTGAGGACTGAAAGAGGGCCGGGAGAAATACTAGATTCCATACAATGGAATCTAGTTGATGGGCAGAGAGTCGCCAGAGGGAGGAGAGGAGAACGTCTTGGGAGGTGGCAGGGGTCAATTCCTGCACGAGCGCACAGGAGTGGAGCTCCGGCAGTAAAGAGCCCAGGGGGCGGGCACATGCAACAAGCCCCACCCGCTGCTCCCAGCAGGCCCAGGCCACGAGGATCAAGAAGCCTCTTCCTTCCTTCTTCTCCTTGTCTCCCTTTCCCTCCTTATTTCCTTCTCTCCCTCTTTCTTTCCCTCTTTCCCTTTCCCTCTCCCTCTTTCTTACCCTCTTTCCCTCCTTCTTTCCTTCTCTTTTCCCCTCCTTCCTTCCTTCCCAGACCTGCGCGTCCCCCCGCCCCAGCGAGCAATCCAAAACAGTCCAGTGGCACCTTTAAGACCACGTTTTATTCAGGTACAAGCTCTCCCTCCACTGTGAGGGCAGATCTCCACGTCCCCCCCCCCAATAGCTAGCAACCCAAAACAGTCCAGTGGAGCCTGAGGGGTGGGTGTTGCCTTCTGACACACTTCCGGTGATGTCAGGGGGTGTGGCATATGCAAATAAGTTACGCTAATGAGCTCCTGCACCTCTTTTCCTATGAAACGACCCCTGGGAGGTGGCCATATAAACCCTGATCTCATTTAATAAAAGTTACCAACTATTCAGCAAGATCGCTTATCCAGAAAATGTTATTTATGTAAGTTATCAAAATCTGATTTTCAACAAGCAGAACTGTTAATTAACTGTCGACATAGAAGTCTCACTTACTCCCAAGCAGGTGGAGTCTAGGACTTCACCTAAACACCAAAAATAAGAGAAGCAGAAAGCATGCCATTAAATACCTGGCCCCAGCGATCAGCCCCGCAGGCATGAATTTCCCCGAGTTGTAGAACCGCATGCCCATAATGCCAGCTAAAGTTCCAGAAGCAACTAGTTGAAAGACAAAAGCCAAGGCAGCAGTTATCTGTGGGGGGCTTCTGTGAGAGACTGCCAACTTGCAGAGAAGATTACTATCAAGATTATTTTCTTTTAAAGACACCACAAGAAAAAAGGGGGAAATGCTGTGAACGTTTTATACCACTTAACAACCCTTTTTCAACTGAAGAATTCTTTTAAAAGTTCTAACCTGCCTTGCTGAAATGATGTGTAAAGGTAAAGGTTCCCCTTGCTCGCAGCCTGATTACAGCTTTCACACCAGTGCGGTGTAGTGGTGAAGAGTGTCAGACTAGGATTTGGAGGACCCTGGTTCAAACCCCCACACGTGCCTAGGAAGCCCCCTGTTTCTCATTCTCAGCCCAACCTGCCTCACAGAGTTGTTTTGAAGGTAAAATGGAGGGGAGTGATGCTAGGCGCTTTGGGCCCCCTTCTATTTTGTATCTAATCCCTGAGAAAACTGAGGGTTCCAACCAATGCTCCCTCCAAGCTGTGGAGCGGATGTGCATGGAAGACAAATTCTGAAGAGTTCCCTTCTCACACTTACAGCTTTCACACCAGTGTGGTGTAGTGGTGAAGCGTGTCGGACTCGGATCTGGAGGACCCCAGTTCAAACCCCCACACGTGCCTTGGAAGCTCCCTGTGTGATCTTGGGCCACTGAGACATTCTCAGCCCAACCTGCCTCACACAGTTGTTTTGAAGATAGAATGGAGGGGAGTGATGCTAGGCGCTTTGGGCCTTGTGAGCAAAAAAATCTACTTTGTGAGCTACTGGCATTTAAATTGTGAGTGAGCGATTTGGCTGCTGCATAAATTAGCTAGGACAAAAATGTGTGAACCAGAGGCTAAAAAACCTGTGAGCTAGCTCACACTGACTCAGCTTAGAGGGAACACTGGTCCCAACTGTGGAAGCTGACTTGAACTAAACCCCTATGTCATGACCCAACATAGGCGTGATGACCAGGCAGAGAACACTTAAACGGTTTATTAACACAGTACCGGGGCAAGGAACACAAGACAAGGTGCTTTAAAAGATATAACAGTGTTTAAAAGGCAAAATAAACGCACACCTAACGCGACTACCTAGTTCGCTTAACTGGGTACTACTTCCAGGCGCATAGCCTGCCAGGCTACGCTACCTGTACTCACTCTCAGCCAAGTGAGAGATCTCTTTCTCTCACCAGACCAGCCTGTCCCCTCTGTGAGACCAGGCCGCAGATGAGAGACGAAAGAACCCCGTTTTCACAGTTAACAGCTTAAGTCGGAATCTCCTCACACATCTCTGGAAACTGATTGCGTTCAGACAGGCTGTTTAGTCCACTTTCGGTCTGCCTCAAAAAGAAGAAGAAAAAGAGCCACATACAACCAACAAACCACATGTTGTTTACCTGTTACTTACTGATTTATCAAATTTAGCAAATTGGTATGCTGCCTTCTGCCACCAAGATGGCTCACAGTTAGAACAAATGTAAACCACAGGAGCATGCAAATCATAATTGTAAGGGTCACTTTGCGTTTGTTTCATGCACACACATGGTCAAGGCACACTTACGCAAGGATATCCAAATTTTCTTCGGGTCTTGAGAGAGTTGGTAAGCACCCAATCCAGCTAACCCGCCAAAGAGAAGTCCAGCAGCTAAAGACTGGACACTGCCTTTAATTAAACAGAACATATTGCCTTTATTAAACAGAAGAGACATACACTGGATACGCTGAGGCTGAGTTCAGACTGGCAGTTTGGCCCGATAGAGGCACGTTTCACAAATGGATTAAAGGGGCCGGTTCACACAGCCACAGCTGTCAGGCGTTCCCCAGCTGTACTCTACCCGTCCTATGACGATTCCCTACCGAGTTTTAAAACTACCAGGTGGAAGCTGTAGCAAACCCTGGAGAGTGTGTTGATCCCGCTTCCCGGACGTGTGCACGCTAAAAGCTGCAAACGAGCTGCATTGCTGCGCCTATGCGCATGTCACCAGAGTGAAAAAAAAGCCGCTTACAGCCGCGGCTCTGCCAGGGGCGGGCCAACAGTGCGAACGCTCCCTTGCGCCTCCTCCCCGGTATGCTCCCGCATCAGTAGGTGCAGTGCGACCGGGAATCCCCGGCACAACTTGGTCCGGGTCTTTTTGCCCTGCCTCCCTCGCACTTCATACTGCCAGTCTGTCCTCAGTCTGAATTAATACATAACATGTCCCCTGTTCATAGTCAGACTAACATTTGACTATGAAAAGCTTTAACTGTGGCTTTTAAGATTTCAATATATCAGCTGCCCTATAGAATACTTGCTGTTCATGACCTTTTATTACTGACCTCATGCCCAATTCAGCTGAGAGGTAAAATGATCTATTTGCTTTGGTGTCTTTTAAAACAAGAATTTAGCATCTTCTTAGCGCAAAGGATAATCCTGTGCTACTTTAGGAAAACAGCCTCAGAAAACTGTTTCTAGTCCCATTATCTGTTTACACATAGAGAGGCGACCTGCACATTGAATTTACAAAGTGCTGTCACCCCTAGTTACTGTGCAACGGTCCTATTAAGCAGGCTTAAGGGGGGCACTCAATTATCGGTTGCCACTGCTGCCTATTCCATGTTCAGGTCAAACTTAATAGGTCTGGAAGCCTCAAGAGCACTATTAAAAAGGTCTTGAGTATTGACAATCTAGGTGTCTGGCCCCAGATTCCTGCTAGACCTCTGGACTAATGTAAAATCATGTGTCATTTTCGTAACAAAGGCACTGTAAATGCCAGTTGCCGGAATTCAAAGGAACAAGTTCCTTGTGTCTTTGGAGCCCTGAAATCCTGTTTCCTTCCCTTCCCTTTGTCCAGCTTGCACTCCGATCATAGGCAAGTGCCAGATAAACAGAGAACTTCAGATGAAGGACACGATGGACCCCAAACTGTCCTCTTGGGTGTATCCCTTTCACTACCAAGCAAGATCCTTCTTGACACTTATTCTCAAGGGATGAATATCCAGCCGGGGTTTTCTCTTCCCAAAGTCCTCTGAAATTATCAGGTGAGAGCCACTACAACATTTAAAAAAAATGTTATTGAAAATCTAGATACAGATTTTTCCACTGAGGTTAATGGGAGTTCTACACGCAAGATCAGAGAAGAATATGTGCTTTAGGGTTGTGTCCCCCACCCCACCCCACTCCACCTTGCACTATGTTGAGCTCCATCACAGCTAATGCCAGTTCTTTCCTTGCTATACTATTAATTTGTTAAAAAAAAAGTTCTTTCCTTGCTATACTATTAATTTGTTAAAAAAAAAATTGTTAAAAAAATTATTTTTCTCCACGAACATAAGCAAAAACATTACAAGGTGTATGGATCTTTGTGGGAAATTTTTATTACACTGGAAATTATTTTGTAGGTAGATCAAGATGGGTAGCCTCCTTCGTCTGCCTGTAGCAGAAGAAAAGAGCAAGAGTCCAGGAGCACCTTAAAGACTAACAACATTTATGGCAGGGTAGGAACTTTCGTGAGTCACTAAATATGTGGTAGGGGGTGAGCAGTGGCAAAGTGAGCAGTGTGACTCACGAAAGCTCCTACCCTGCCACAAGTTTTGTTAGTTATAAGCTGCTACTGGACTCTTCTTATTTTGTATGTTACAGTGTAGGTATGTGATGGGTATTTCTCTCAGTCAGTGCTAACAGGCAAACGGTGCCTCACTGCGGTCTTGGAAACAGTATGGCTGTGGTTGTATCTGTGGATTCACAGATCCAGGATGTGCCTGGGCCATTCTGCAGAGACCCCTAATGTATGATCCGCCACTGCCACCCTGTCTGAAAGACAAGGGCCCCT